AATTTTATTGAAGGCCTTCTCTGAATCTCTTGAGATAATCATCTGGTCCACTATTTTCTGTGCCTAGTTTGCACCAGTGGCAGTGTCACTGCACAGGTGGGGTACAGGCAGGGGTAGGGCCAGTGGGCTTCTTGCCCACCAATGTTCTGACAACAATGGTGGTACAGTTGGAAGAAGTGGGACAAGGTGCACTCTGCTGGCAGCAGTGTCATGACAGGGTACTCACATATTTACACTGGCAGGGAAGGGAAGGCTATGTCTATCTGCACATATATGTGCTGGCAAAGCAATGTGGGGGTGGCCATGGGTGAATGCCTGTGGGCAAAGCAGCATGGAGGCTGCTGTTGGAGGAGAGCTCAGTGTGGTGCAGGCAGGGGCACTCTGCTGGAGCACTCTACCAGTCAGGCACAGTCCACCAGCACAGGAGCTATGATAAGGACCCCCAGGAGGTACCTAGGAGGTGCACTACAAGAAGGCTTAGCAAGGCTGGAGCCCTGGAAGAGGCCAGAAGACTGAGGGGTGGCTCAGGTCAAACTAGCTCTGTCTCATGGGCAAGACCACCCTATAGAGTTCAGGTCTGACACTTCCCCTATGGCTAAAGCTTTTATGGGAGCAAGTTGAGCCTAGAGGAATGGACATCCCTAGTCTGCTCCACTACAGATGCTCCCATGCCAAACCCTCTGCGCACTGGCTGAAATTCTTCCCTTAATGCTCCTTACTTCTCTAAGCACTATCCATTGTGGCTGAGGGGTCTCCTCCTATGGGGATTCCATAGGTTCATAGCAGGTTGCTTCTTGACTGCTCAACTCACCCCATCCACAGTAGTCACTGGGGTCAAGGAACAAGTCGTGGTATGTGGTTGCCCAATTCAGGGTTCCTAGCCTTCTTCTCCTTTGCACAGCCTCTATGACTTTGCTTTATCTGCTCTCAATGCTTTCCCTTTGAAGATTTGCTATGAGTGTCCCCATCTTCCCAATATCCTGGTCCTTTGGTGGGAGATGTTCCCCCTGGCTGCATCTAGTCAGCCATTTTGGAGGAGGAATTCAATCTTTGCTTCCATTTCAGTTGGAAAAAAAAAAAGTTAGACTAATTGCAGAAGGATACTCAAAGAAAATATTAACTTTTGTCTAAATGGAAGTGAGACTCTAAGGAAGTTGAAATTTCAAAAAGTAAAGCTGTTTTTAAAATAATAAGTAAATTGGAGGTAGAAACTATAAAACCCAGGGATCACTGCTAGAACATTACATTGCTTAATATATCTAAGAGTTTTACTTAACCTTCATAACCAAACAATTTTTTCTCTCTATATTAGGAGGCTTTCTCCTCAAAATGGTTTCAAATTGTGTTATAGATTTGTACATATAATTTAAAAACCATATACTATATGTATAGTTTATTGTGAAAGGAAGATTCAGACACAAAGTACATATCTAGTACTCACATTTTCCACAAAGAAGGATGAAAACAGCAAGCAGGTAACAATATGTCAGGTAGAATATCTAGGGAAGAATGAATGAATCCAGAAGGAAAACAATAGGGACCTTCTGACACATGGAAGTTTGAGATGGCAGCATAGAAAAGGCACTAAGATGGATTGGCTCACACCTAGGAGGGATGCTCCAATACAGGAGAAATGGTAAGTGAGAGATTCCTAGCAGTCCACGTTCCAACACAAATGCCTGCAGTCCCAGCTACAAGAAAGCTCCTTGGCCCTCTTGGGCCCTGTGCCTAGTATAAGTAGCTTCCTGGAGTCCACAAGACTGCATTTTTCAGGGACGAATTAATGCTGGGACCTCTGGGACCCAAGCTGCTGCAATATGGTGTCATTTTGAAACCAGAGTCAACACCAAACTACATCCAGCCCTGGTGCCCAATGACTGCTGCATCTCCAACATCCCTTTACATCTACCCAGAAGGCTGCAGTGTTGCAATGCCAGCTGACTCAGTGGTTTAACCGCATTTCTGGCACCCAAACCTTGCAACACCCTACATCCCAGATAGCAGGTGATCCAGCACATTGGAGAGGCAACCTACCCAACATAGGGAACTGAAGTGTACACTTACATACCCCACCCAGAGACCAGGGATCAACCTGCCCACTACACTAAAGATACTGCCAATGCCCACATGCCCCATGCAGGGGCCCAGGTATCAGTCTGTCTGCCCTACTATGGACACCACTAGTGCCTGTATACCACACCCAGAGGCCTAGGGATTGGTCACTGGTGGTGCCCATGCATGCCACCTAGTGGCCTCGGGACTGGTCCTACTGGCCTGCTGCTGACACCACCAGTGTCTGTGCACTCCACTCAGGCACCAAAGGACCCACCTACTATTGCCACTGCCAGTGCCTATGCACCCTACCCAGAGAACCAAGGAGTAGACACTGACACCTGCATGTGCTACCCAGGGACCCAAGTGCTGGTCCGCTGCCATTACTGCTGATGCTCACATACCTCACCAAGAGGGCTGAGGACCAGCCTACTTGGCACCTAAATCCCCAGCAAATCCTCACTACAGCCTCTACAAACAACTGCACCCTATGTCACTAAGACACAGACACCTCTGATACTGATTACAACCAAAGTAATCACATGGAGACAACACTATGGTGCCCATCCAGAACTAAAGCCCAAACCATGTATGCAATTTATGTTGTAGATACATCAACAGGAAAAATTATTTTTCTATGAAATCTACTTAATAAAATTGGAAAAACTTAGTTATACCAGCTGTGGAAATATCAATGTAAGGATGCATGAACACGAAAAATCAAGAAAACATGACACCTCCAAAGGAACACAATAATTCTCCAGTAACAGACTCCAAAGGAAAAAAAATATTAAATATCTGAAAAGGAATTTAAAATAATGACCTTAAGGAAACTCAACAAGATACAAGAAAATACAGATAAACAATACAAAGAAATCAGGAAAACAATTCATGAGCTGAATGAGAAATTCAGCAAAGAGATATATATTATAAAAAAGAATCAAACAAATCCCAGAGCTGAGGAATTTAGTGAATTAAATAAAAAATACAATTGAGTACTTTAACAATAGACTACATCAAGCAGAAGAAAGAATTTCTGAAGCTAGGTCTTTTGAAATAACTCAATCAGACAAAGGGAGTTGGAGGGTGTTGTGGAGGAAGAAAAGAAGAAAGGGAGAGAAAAGAAAGAATGAGGAAAGCCTGGGGCATGGGAAACAAGCAAACGAATAAGAAAGAGAAAAGATTTTTTTTTAATACTGCATGTTCTTACTTATAAGTGGGAGCTAAATCATGTGTACACGTGGACATAGAGTGTAGAATAATACACATTATTGGTGTAGAAGAATGCTTGTGATTTTTGCACACTGATTTTGTATCCTGAGACTTTGCTGAAGTTGCTTATCAGCTTAAGGAATTTTTGGGCTGAGACAGTAGGATTTTATAAATATACAATCATGTTATCTGCAAACAGCGACAATTTGACTTCCTCTCTTTCTATTTGAATACCCTTTATTCCTTTCTCTTGCCTGATTGCCCTGGACAGAACTTCCATTTGGGACATGGGCATGGGCAAAGATGTTGTGATTTAAACACCAAAAGCAATTGCAACAAAAGCCAAAATTGACAAATGGGATCTCATTAAACCAAAGAGCTTCTGCACAGCAAAAGAAACTATCATCAGAGTCAACAGGCAACCTACAAAATGGAAGAAAATTTTTGCAATCTATCCATCTGACAAAGGGCTAATATCCAGAATCTACAAGGAACTTAAATAAATTTACAAGAAAAAAAAAACCTCATCAAAAAGTGGGCAAAGTATATGAACAGCCACTTCTCAAAAGAAGACATTTATGCAGCCACCAAACATAAGAAAAAAAGCTCATCATCACTGGTCATTAGAGAAATGCCAATCAAAACCACAATGAGATACCATCTCATGCCAGTTACAATGGCAGTCATTAAAAAAGAAAGAATGAGGAAACGAGATGCTGGAGAGGATGTAGAGAAATAGAAGGACTTTTACACATTTGGTGGGAGTGTACATTAGTTCAACCATTGTGAAAGGCAGTGTGGCAATTCCTCAAGGATCTAAGACTAGAAACACCATTTGACCCAGCAATCCCATTACTGGCTATACACCCAAAGGATTATAAATCATTCTACTATAAAGACACATGCACACATGTGTTTACTGCAGCACTATTTACAATAGCAAAGACTTGGAACTACCCCAAATGCCCATCAATGATAGGCTGTATAAATAAAATATGGCATATACACTATGGAATACCATGCAGTCATAAAAAAGAATGAGTTTATGTCCTTTGCAGGGACATAGATGAAGCTGGAAACCATCATTCTCAGCAAATAACACAGGAAAAGAAAACCAAACACCACATGTTCTCACTTGTAAGTGGAGGCTGAACAATGAGAACACATGGACACAGGGAGGGGAACATGACCTACCAGGACCTGTCACAAGGTGGGGCACAAGGGGAGAGATAGCATTAGGACAAATACCTAATGGATGCAGGGGTTAAAACCTAGATGACGGGTTGATGGGTGCAGCAAACCACCATGGCACAGGCATACATATATAACAAACTTGCACATTCTACACATGTATCCCAGAACTTAAAGTAAAAATATTTATATTTTTTTAAATTCCAAGCACTTAAAGTACTTTCCTTGTATATTTAAGTTACACAACAAAAAGTTTAACACTATAATATAATGACAGAATACATGGTAGAGATTTAGAATCAGTTTTAAGCTATGTTACATAGTCAAAATATAAAAAAGGGAATCTTAATAAATAACTTTTGAAATTTTTGGCTAACTACTAAATTTGTAACTAAATCTTAAAAGAACAAGGACTTAGCCACATTCATGTGGTTTAGAAAATAAAGGAATTCTTGCTCATCTTCATTTGTTTATCTACATACTTTGACTCCTTTATGTTAAGAGTTAATTATGATATTTATGCTGACTTCCTCCTCTTGGCACAGACCATGTAAATGGACATTGCACAAGTCCAACTTCCCAGAGTTGCAGTTCTGGAAAACGTCTTTCTAGTGCCGATGTTTCAAAAGTAAATCGCTGGGGTCCTGGAAGACCACCATTTCGAAAGGCCCAGTCAGCAGCTTGCATGGAGGTTTCTTTACCAGTTACAACAGAAGGTATGTTAAACATATTAATTTTTTTTGTTATAGTTAAAATTTGGTTTGCCATGATGATGAGAACTGAGAGATGTAGGATGAAGATCACAGGCAAAAGATATAAAAAAAACTACTAGTCAGTGAATAACTGACAGCCTGATGGGGCTGTGGCCATAACTCCAACTCCATTCCTCACTCCATCTCCTTCTTCACCTCTAAAACCAGAATGGCTCTGCTTATGGGCAACTACCCCCTCCTCTGTAAAAAGGGAGACCTATGCCTTAATCTGTTCTCTACCCTTCCCATAATAATTAAGAGTTTATTTCAATCTCAATAATAAGCTCTTTGGTGTCTCTATCTATAGATATTTAATGTATAGCAACCTTAATTTCTCAGTTATCAAATGAATTTGACAAAGAACAAAGGCAAGATATTAAATTCTAAAGTTTGCAGTCTTCATCTTTATATAATTTCAAAGGAAGAACTATCTGCTTATTTATGGAATGAGTGTGGGGGCGGGGGTGGGGGAGAATAAAGTACAAGAGCCAGAGGCCAAAAATTTTAGAGGGTAAAATAGGGAATCCAGTAACTTTGCTGCAACTGTCTTATTGATAAAGAACTTTAGAGAGATATATATAGGAAAAAAATAATTGTAGGAAGATTTGCTATTCTATACTGTGAAGTAAGTCCCTATTTACTACTCCTGAAAACTTTTAATGGTGATCTATATTGTTTTTCAAATGTAAAAAAATTATATTTAAGTTTTTATTTTTCTTAAGTATTATGCTATACTAAATCTGATCCCTTAGACATGCAGATAATGACGTTATTTCTCTAACAGATGTCTATGAGTGTCAACCTTGTATGGTGATGAACCATGAATGGAAAAGATTTGGAGCCATGTAATAGCTAGTATGTTATAAAAGAAACAATATGTAAGGATTACTAAAGAAGTAGCCCATTTTTAGTTTTTATTTTTTTAAGAGATAGGAACTCATTCTGTTGCTGAGGTTGGATTACAATGATAAATCATATGCACTGCAGCCTCTAACTCCTGGACTCAGGTGATGCTCCTGCCTCAGCCTCCAAAGCAGCTGGAGTACCACATCCAGCTTATTTTTCAGTTTTTATAGAGACAGTGTCTCACTATGTTCCCCAGGGTGATCTTGAACTCCTGGCCTCAAGTAATCACTATGTTCTCCAGAGTGGTCTTGGGAATTTTGAATTTTAGATACTTCTACCTCTAATTTGTCTAGATTCTGAGAAAATTACTGAACTCTGTCTCCAAATCTGTAAAATATATAACCTCCAAGCTCCCTTTCATCTCTAAATTTTATCACAAACAATTACTTTTATAAATTTCCTGAGAGATAAAAAGGAGAAATTAGGAATACTATATTTTGTTTCCCAGAAAATAAAATAGTCTGAGGAACCTATATTTAGCCTTTTTCTATAACAATTATGAGTTACATGTGTACCTATCAAGAGGGAAAAGAGAGTGAAGGCTGTAGAAAGAAAAATATGAAGAACTTGTACTGTGGGGTGATTATAAGAGCAGGACAATATTGAAAACATTTCACTGAGTTGTATGAGTTTATGCTTACTGGAGTGTACACATGTACAAGTGTTGATGAGAGGAGAACCTGAAACCATCCTGTTTCCTTTAAGTGAGCTGAAGCACTCTCAGAAAGATTACCACTATTAACAGGATGGCATATAGTCTATACTCTTTATTTAGCCCTAGGCAGATTTAGGACTAAATTTGAATTAAAGGTAAGCAGCCTGAAACCAGTTCCAGGGGATAAAATTTGCATTTTGGCCTTGGTAGAAATGTTAATTTTTACAATTGTGATTATTCCAGCTATAGAATATGTTTGCCACAGAAGATTTGTGATCCAGATAGGCCCTTTCATGCCAATAGCCACAATATTGTCAGCAAGTTGGAATTGACAAGAAACTGTTAGGGATACTTCCAACAATTTAGAGGTAGGAGGGAAGCACAATTTAAGTGATATCAGAAATTCTTGTAACTGTTACTATTTAAACTGAATATTTTTTCTAGATAAAAGAATTTCAACTAACTTGTGAGTTAACATAGAGAAAGAAAAATGTTGAACAGGGACTCAGGAGACTCCAGTTCTAGTCCTAGGTCTGCCTAAGCTTATGAAATATACTTCTAGACTTCAGTTGCTCCATCGTCAAAATAAGCTGGTGAACTGGATAAGCTGCCTTCCAGGTCAATTAACAAACAATGAAATTTTACTTCCTCCTCATAATTTTATTTTTATATTATTATAGTTATAATACTTTAAGTTCTGGGTTACATGTGCAGAACGTGCAGGTTTGTTACACAGTTATACACATGCCATAGTGGTTTGCTGCATCCATCACCCCATTATCTACATTAGGTATTTCTCCTAATGCTATTCCTCCCCTATCCCCCCAACCCCCTCCTATCCATCCCCTATCACCCCACCTCCTGACAGGTCCCCATGTGTAACATTTCCCTCCCTGTGTCCATGTGTTCTTATTGTTCAGCTCCCAACTATGAGTGGGAACATGCAGTGTTTTGGTTTCTGTTCTTGTAGTAGTTTGCTGAGAATGATGGTTTCCAGCTTCATCCATATCCCTGCAAAGGACATGAACTCATCCTTTTAATGGCTGCATAGTATTTTATGGTGTATATGTGCCACATTTTCTTTATCCAATCTATCACTGATGGACATTTGGGTTGGTTCCAAGTCTTTACTATTGTAAACAGTGTCACAATGAACATACATGTGCATGTGCCTTTATAATAAAATGATTTATAATCCTTTGGGTATATACCCAGCAATAGGATTGCAGGTCAAATGGTATTTCTAATTCTAGATCCTTGAGGAATCACCACACCATCTTCCACAGTGGTTGAACTAATTTACATTCCCATCAACAGTGTAAAAGTATTTCTATTTCTCCACATCCTTTCCAGCATTTGTTGTCCCCTGATTTTTTAATGATTGCCATTCTAACTGGTGTGAAATGGTATCTCATTGTGGTTTTGATTTGCATTTCTCCAATGACCAGTGATGATGAGTTTGTTTTCTTATGTTTTTTGGCTGCATAAATGTCTTGCTTTGAAAAGTGTCTGTTCATATCCTTTGCCCACTTTTTGATGGGGTTGTTTGTTTTTCTCTTGTAAATTTGTTAAAGTTCCTTGTAGATGCTGGATATTAGCCCTTTGTCAGATGGGTAAATAGCAAAAATTTTTTCCCATTCTGTTGGTTACCCGTTCACTCTAATGATTGTTTCTTTTGCTGTGCAGAAGCTCTTTAGTTTAATTAGATCCCATTTGTCAATTTTGGCTTTTGTTGCCATTGCTTTTCATGCTTTAATCATGAAGACCTTGTCCATGCCTATGTCCAGAATGGTATTGCCTAGGTTTTCTTCTAGAGTTTTTATGGTTTGGGGTCGTTCATTTAAATATTTAATCCATCTTGAGTTAATTTTTGTATAAGGTGTGAGGAAGGGAACCAGTTTCACCTTTCTGCATATGGCTAGCCAGTTGTCCCAACACCATTTATTAAACAGGGAATCCTTTCCCCATTACTTGTTTTTGTCAAGTTTGTCAAAGATCAGATGGTTGTAGATGTGTGGCATTCTTTCTGAGGCCTCTGTTCTGTTCCATTGGTCTATATATCTGTTTTGGTATCAATGCTATGCTGTTTTTGTTACTGTAGCTTTGTAGTATAGTTTGGAGTCAGGTAGCGTGATGCCTCCAGCTTTGTTTTTTTGTTTTGTTTTGCTTAGGGTTGTTCTACCTGAAATTTAAGGTGTTTTTTTTTTTTTTCAATTCTGTGAAGAAAGTCAGTGGTAGCTTGATGGGGATAGCATGGAATCTATAAATTACTTTGGGCATTATGGCCATTTTCATGATACTTATTCTTCCTATCCATGAACATGGAATATTTTTCCATCTGTTTGTGTCTTCTCTTATTTCCTCTAACAGTGGTTTGCAGTACTACTTGAAGAAGTCCTTCACGTCTCTTGTTAGTTGTATCCCTAGATATTTTATTCTCTTTGTGGCAGTTGTAAATGGCAGTTCACTCATGATTTGGCTCTCTGTTTGTCTGTTATTATTGCATAGGAATACTTGTGGTTTGCACATTGACTTTGTATTTGAGGCTTTGCCAAAGTTGCTTATTAGCTTAAGGAGATTTGGGGACAATGGGGTCTTCTAAATATACAATCAAGTCATCTGTAAATAGAGACAATTTGACTGCCTCTTTTTCTAATTGAATATGCTTTATTTATTTCTTTTTTTTTTTTTTTTTTTTTTTGCCTGATTGCCCTGGCCAGAACTTCCAATACTGTGTTGAGAGAGGGCATCATTGTCTTGTGCTGGGAATGCTTCTAGGTTTTGCCCATTCAATATGATATTAGCTGTGGATTTGTCATAAATAGCTCTTATTATTTTGAGATACATTCCATCAATAACTAGTTTATTGAGAATTTTTAGCATAAAGCATTGTTGAATTTTGTCAAAGGCCTTCTCTGCATCTATTGAGATAATCATGTGGTTTTTTTCATTGGTTCTGTTTATGTGTTGGATTACATTTATTGATTTGTGTATGTGGAACCAGCCTTCCATCTCAGGGATGAAGCTGACTTGATCATGATGGATAAACTTTTTGATGTGCTGCTGGATTCGGTTTGCCAGTATTTTTTTTAAGGATTTTTGCATTGATATTCCTCAGGAACATTGGCCTAAATTTTCTTTTTCCATTGCGTCTCTGCCAGGTTTTGGAATCAGGATGATGCTGGCCTCATAAAATGAGTTAGGGAGGAGTCTCTCTTTTTGTATTGTTTGGAATCATTTCAGAAGGAATGGTACCAGCTCCTCTTTGTACCTCTGATAGAATTTAGCTGTGAACCTGTCTTGTCCTGGACTTTTTTGGTTGGTAGGCTATTAATTCCTGAGTCAATTTCAGAATTTGCTATTGGTCTATTCAGGGATTTGACTTTTCCTGGTTTAGTCTTGGGATGGTGTCTGTGTCCAGGAATTTATCCATTTCTTCTAGATTTTCTAGTTTATTTGCATAGATGTGTTTATAGTATTCTCCAATGGTAGTATGTATCTCTGTGGGATTGTTATTGATATCTCCTTTATCATTTTTTATTGTATCTATATGATTCTTCTCTCTTTTCCTCTTTATTAGTCTGGCTAGTAGTCTATCTATTTTGTGATCTTTTCTAAAAACCAGCTCCTGGATTCATTGATTTTTTTGAATGGGTTTTGTTTCTCTATCTCCTTCAGTTCTGCTCTAATCTTAGTTATTTCTTGTCTGCTGCTAGCTTTTGAAATTGTTTGTTCTTGTTCCTCTAGCTCTTTTAATTGTGACATTACAGTGTCAATTTTATGTTTCTTCCCTTCTTTTTAGTGCTATAAATTTCCCTCTACACACTACTTTAAATGTGTCCCAGAAATTGTGGTACATTGTGTCTTCGTTCTCATTGGTTTCAAAGAACATATTTATTTCTGCCTTCATTTCATTATTTATCCAACAGTCGTTCAGAAGCAGGTTGTTCAGTTTCCATGTAGCTGTGTGGTTTTGAGTGAGTTTCTTAATTCTGAGTTCTAATTTGATTGCACTGTGGTCTGAGAGACTGTTTCTTGTGATTTCCATTCTTTTGCATTTGCTGAGGGGTGTTTTACTTCCAACTATATGGTCAATTTTAGAGTAAATGTGATGAATGTGGTGCTGAGAGGAATGTATATTCTGTTGATTTGGGGTGGAGAGTTCTGTAATTGTCTATTAGGTCCACTTGGTCCACAACTGAGTTCAAGTCCTGGCTATTCTTGTTAATTTTCTTCTCATTGATCTGTCTAATATTGACAATGGGGTATTAAAGTCTCTTACTATTATTGTGTGGAAGCCTAAGTGTCTTTGTAGGTCTCTAAGAACTTGCTTTATGAATCTGGACGCTCCTGTATTGGGTGCATATATAATTAGGATAGTTAGCGCTTCTTGTTGCATTGATCCCTTTACCATTATGTAATACCCTTCTTTGTCTCTTTTGATTGTTGTTGGTTTAAAGTCTCTTATCAGAGACCAGGATTGCAATCTCAGCTTTTTTTTCTCTCTCTCTCCATTTGCTTGGTAAATATTCCTTCTTCCCTTTATTTTGAGCCTATGAGTATCTTTGCACTTGAGATGCATCTCCTGAATACAGCACACCAATGGGTCTTGACTCTTTAACCAACTTGCCAATCTGTGTCTTTTAATTGGGGCATTTAGTCATTTACATTTAAGATTAATATTGTTATGTATGAATTTGATCTTGCCATTATGATGTTAGCTGGTTATTTTGCCTGTTAGTTGATGCAGTTTCTTCATAGTGTCAATGGACTTTACAATTTAGTATATTTTTGCAGTTGCTGGTAACAGTTGTCCCTTTCCATGGTTAGTGCTTCCTTTAGGAGCTCTTGTAATGCAGGCCTGATGGTGACAAAATCTCTCAGCAGTTGCTTGTACATAAAGGATTTTATTTCTCCTTTGCTTATGAAGCTTCGTTTGGCTGGATATGAAACTCTGGGTTGGAAATTCTTTTCTTTAGAGATATTGGCCCCCACTCTCTTCTGGCTTGTAGGGTTTCTGCCGAGAGATCCCCTGTGAGTCTGATGGGTTTCCCTTTGTGGGTAACCCGACCTTTCTCTCTGGCTGCCCTTAGCATTTTTCCTTCATTTCAACCCTTGTGAATTTGACAATTATGTGTCTTGGGGTTGCTCTTCTTGAAGAGTATCTTTGTGGGTGTTCTGTATTTCCTGAATTTGAATGTTGGCCTGTCTTGCTAGGCTGGGGAAGTTCTGAATAATAACCTGAAGAGTGTTTTCCAACCTAGTTTCATTCTCCTCATCACTTTCAGGTACACTGATCAAACATAGATTTGGTCTTTCCACATAATCCTGTATTTCATCAAGGCTTTGTTCATTTATTTTCACTCTCTGTTCTCTAATCTTGTCTTTTCACTTTATTTCATTGAGTTGATCTTCAATCTCTTATAATTTTTCTTCTGCTTGATCAATTCAGCTATTGATACTTGTGTGTGCTTCATGAAGTTCTCTTGCTGTGTTTTTCAGCTACATCAGGTTATTTATGTTCTTCTCTAAACTGGTTATTCTAGTTGGCATTTTGTCTAACCTTTTTTCAAGGTTCTTAGCTTCCTAGCATTGGGTTAGCACATGCTCCTTTAGCTTGGAAAAGTTTGTTATTACCCACCTTTTGAAGCCTGCTTCTGTCAATTCATCAAAGTCATTCTCTGTCCAGTTTTGTTCCCTTGCTGGCGAGGAGTTGTGATCCCTTGGAGGAGAAGAGGTACTCTGGTTTTTGGAATTTTCAGCCTTTTTATGCTGGTTCCTTCCAATATTCATGGATTTTATTTACCTTTGGTCTTTGAAGTTAGTGGCCATTGGATGGGGTCTCTGAATGGACATCCTTTCTGTTGATGTTGAAACTATTTCTTTCTGTTTGTTTGTTTTTCTTCTAACAGTCAGACCCTTCTACTCTTGTCGTATAGGTGTGAGCCACTGCACCCAGCAATTTAATAAAATAAAAAAGGTCTGCTTTCATTTGCTGGAGGTTCACTCCAGACCCTGCTTGCCTGGGAATCACTAGTGGGGGCTGCAGAACAGCAAAGATTACTGCCTGTTTACTCCTTGGTAGCTTCTTCCCAGACAGGTACCCACCAGATGCTAGCCAGAGCTCTCTTGTATGAGGTGTCTGTCGGCCCTTAGGGGCATTTATCTCCCAGTCAGGATACATGGGGTCAGGGAGCCACTTGAGGAGGCAGTCTTTCCCTTATCAGAACTTGACTGCTGTGCTGGAAGATCCACTGCTCTCTTCAGAGCTGCCAGGCAGGGACATTTAAGTCTGCTGAAGCTGTACCCACAACCGCCCCTTTTGCCAGGTGCTCTGTCCAGGAAAGTGGGAACTTTATTTGTAAGTCCGTGATGGGCTGTTGCCTTTTTTAAGAGATGCCCTACCCAGTAAGAGGAGAATCTAGTGACACAGTCTGCCTGCAGAGGCCTTCCTGAGCTCTGTGGGCTCCACCCAGTTCAAACTTCCCAGCTGTGATGTTAAAATCGCCTACTGGAGCCTCAGCAATGGTGAATGCCCCTCCCTTCACCAAACTCGAATGTCACAGGTCAAGCTCCGACTGTGCTGGCTGTGAGAATTCCAACCCAGTGGATCTTAGCTTGCTGGTCTTCATGGTGGGGGAAACCACCAAGCCAGATCACTTGTCTCCCTGGCTTCAGCTCCCTTTCCAGGGGAGTGAACGATTCTGTCATGCTGGTGTTCCAGGCACCAATGGGGTATGAAAAAAAACTGCTTTGTCTCTCTTGGTGTCTTCCCAAACAGCGGCCCAGTTTTGTGCTGGAAACCTAGGGACCTGGTGTTGTAGGTATCAGAGGGAATCTCCTGGTCTGTGGGTTGTGAAGACCGTGGGAAAAGCACAGTATCTGGGCTGGAGTGCAGGGGACAGTCCCTAATGGCTTCCCTTGGCCAGGAGAGGGATTTCCCTGGCCCCTTGTGCTTCCCAGGTGAAACAGTGCCCCACCCTGCCTTGGCTTGCCCTTCTTGGGCTGCACCCACTGTCCAACCAGTCCCAATGAGATGAACCAGGTACCACAGATGGAAATGCAGAGATCACCTGTTTTCTGCGTCAATCTCGCTGGCATCTGCACACTGGAGCTGTTCCTATTTGGCCATCTTGCCAGCCTCTAATTTTGGTTTTTATATATTAAATCTGACCTTACTTGTTGTGGACATACACTAACAATTTTGTGGGGTTTTTTTATTTATTTCCATAGAAAACCGAGAAAATTCCTATAATCGTTCTAGAAGCTCTAGCATCTCCAGTATTGACAAAGATTCTAAAGAAGCAATTACAGCACTATACTTCATGGAATCATTTGCACGGAAAAATGACTCTACCATCTCTCCTTGTCTGTTTGTTGGAACCAGTTTGGGAATGGTGTTAATTATCTCCCTCAATCTACCATTAGCAGATGAACAAAGGTTTACAGAGCCGATTGTGGTATTGCCAAGTGGTAAGAGTTTGTATTTATTCATTCATTCACTGTTACTTTTTCAAATTTAGATATAAGGTATTGTAAAACATAAATTTGTATTGATTTGGAGAAAAGGTTATGAGTGTAAGTATTCTGCACGTGGGAACTATTAAGAATTTTATACATCATATATCATCCCAACATTTTTCATATTGTAACATACCTTTCCTTTGGGATAAAAGAGTACAAGCATTGCTTTGGCAGTAAACTGTGAAAGTGCCAACTTAAACAATGATGTGAGAAATAAGTTCCTGAAAAGCACTGAGGAAAACCTTAATGCAAAACTTAAATTTATTTTAACAAATTGAAGCATTTATCCAAAGTTCCATGCCAGATCAGAGCATGTGAGTATTTTTACATTATCCTTGAAGACCTCAGAATAATTAAGCTAGAAGCTGTCTGACCTAAAGTGGATTTCTAAAGTCTTTTATAATCTTCCCATCTTGTTTCAAAGGCATGCCATACAATTCCTTTCCTTTTCGTACTAGCGCCTAGAGAATTTGACCAATGTTATAAGTATTGTTGCCAAGCATATGTTGTATTCTCTTCCTCCTTGAATTATCTTTTTTCTTTTTGAAGAAGAGATGAGTGTGATTCCTCCTGTTATTCCTAATTTGTTCTTATCACTAATTTTATTGTTTCCCTGTTTCCTTTATAAGAAATTTTCAGATAGTTTTTAAGTTAAAAAATACATTAATCCATATGATAGGGGCTTTATTTTAAAAGGATATATATTATGTAGAAGGTTATAGTTGTGTTTTCTTTAATCGATGTGCTAAGTTCATATGACAAAATTGTAGGTAGAATAGTCAGTTCTCTACTAATGTGGCAAATTCAGATTTCTTTTTACAAATTATGATGATCATTTTAACATATAGTTCACAATGAGAAGATACCTTTTACTGTATTCCTAATTACAAGGAAATATACACAATTCTTTTGACTTGTGAGTTAGTTGGAGTCAAATCAGTGAGATCATAATAAATTATTAATTATTAATTAAATTTATTCTTTAACTCAATAAAAGATTATACATATGGACATCTAATACATACCAGGCATTCCTCACAAGTTTATTTATTTTTTTATAAAAGATTGGTTTAAGATAGAATGGTTTTTGTTTTTTTTTTAAGGAGAGAAAGAAAGAAAGAGGAAGAAAAAGAGGGAGAGAGAACAGGAATGTTGTTTTATTCTAAAAATGAGTATTGAAAACCTCTTTTATGCCATTAATTGTGCTTAATAATAGCTGATCAATATTTCATTTAAACCTATGAGTAGGTATGATGTGGTACCTACTCCTCACAAGTTTAGAGGTACAATCAACTTCCACTGTCATACAAGCTTAAAGCCCTAAGTGAAAGACAATGTCCCAATTAGAAATATTCTAACAAATGTGGTTTTCTGTATCACAAGCATAGAAATAAGCAATCCCTTGACTAATAAAACAGATCTCTCAATATTATAGGGAAGTTCTTTGTCATTTTTAGCCCACATACTTAGATCAAAAATGATGGCAAAATACAAAATAAGTATAGATTTAACTTTTGGCATTATTTTGTAAGTATTTGAAAACTTTTTCCTTATCTATTTAATGAGATTTAATGGGAAGCTATCTTCTCCACGTCTCTATGTCACTATTCTTTTAAGACTTTAGTTACCGCTATCTATAATATGTGTCAACATCAATTCATTGGCCGGGCACAGTGGCTCATGCCTATAATCTCTTACTTTGGAAGGCTGGAGGAGGAAGACTGCTTGAGGCTAGGAATCCAAGACCAGCCTGGGAAACGTAGTGAGACCCCGTCACTACCAAAACAATTTTTTTTAATTGCTGGGTACAGTGGCTCACACCTATAATCCCAGCACTTTGGGAGGCCAAGGTAGGAGGATTGCTTGAGCCCAGGAGTTCGAGACCAGTCTGGGTAGCATAATGCGACCACATCTCTACAAATAATTTTTAAAACTTAGCCGGGCATGGTGATGTGCACCTGAGCTTAGGGTGATGAGGATGCAGTGAGCCGTAATCTCACCACTGCACTCCAGCCTGGGTGACAAAGTGAGACCCTGTCTCAATAAAAAATAATAATAAATTAGTTCATTAATCAAATCAAATATCCCTCATTTATACAAGATGTTAATAATAAAGGAAGTGACAGAAGGGGTATACCCTTTATACTATCTGTTTAATTTTCTTGAAATCTGAAACTGCTCTTAAAAACACACTCTATTAATTTTTCAAAAAAAGGTATGTATAAAGCTATGAGTCTGGGTTCCCAGATTTGTTCTACAATTAACCATTACAAGAAAGAAAGCCTACATGAGAGCCATAATTTATGGCAATATAAAGAAAAGAGGATAGAAATGTAAGAAAAGATAAAGGTGACAGAAGCCAGTTTAAATTTAAAGTAGAAAATTTTGTGCTTCCTCTTTCAGAGCTCTTATTGTCTGTAATAGTTGTCCAGTCTTCACCCTCCATACAATATCTAGTTTTCTTCCTATACTCATGAGTTACTGTCCAAGCTTATGGGAACTATTATGGGTAATGTTTATTTATTATGGTTGCTGCCATAGCTTATGGAAACTATTAAAGAAGGTTTGGATTCAGGGGCATTTCCTTTTTCCATTGTCGGTGCTGACAGTGATGCAAAACACTGTTGTTTTTTTCTCAAGATCTAGGTCTTAAATTTTAAATTTTATAATTGTAAAAATCAAACCATAAAGGAACAAAAATGAAAATTCTGCCACTAGCAAACTTTGTCCTTTCTCTGTCTCTCTCCCACCACTCATTTCCTCCTATAGGAATTTTACTCCCCACTAGCAACTCAGTGAGAAATTTGTTAAAACTCATTTTAAATTTTATTTATTTCTACTTAACTCTTTATGCTGCCAACTAAAAATTATTCTATAATTATCAGTTCTGCCATACAAAGTACCTAGCACTGCTTTGTAATATATATATATTTGTAATATATATATATATATATATTCCTCATAATCAAACTCAAGATTTAAATTCATGATAAAAATCAAGATTTTCCAGTATAAATTTATTCTCCTTACTTCAGTGTTAGGCTGCTTTTTCATTGCTATACAGGAATACCTGAGATTGGGTAATTTATAAAGAAAAGAGGTTTAACTGGCTCACAGCTCTTTGGGCTGTACAGGAAGCATGGTTCTGACATTTGCTCAGCTTCTGATGAGGCCTCAGGAAGCTTCCAATCATGGTGGAAGGCAAAGGGGGAAGAGGCACATTACAGGACAAGAGTAAAAACAAGAGAGAAAGTAGGGAGATACCACACAATTTTAAACAGCCAGATCTTATCAGAGAGAGAACTCACTAATCACCAAGTAAATGGCACTAAGCCATTCATGAAGGATTCGTCCTCATAATCTAATACTTCCCATTAGGCCCTACCTCCAACTTGGCGATTGCATTTCAACATCAGATTTGGAGGGGACAAACATCCAAAACATATCAATTTCCAAACTAGTTATTTTTACCACTCTTTCATTTCTGTAAATAGAATATTAACAGAAATTTAATTAATAGCTATCATAATACATAAATAGCCTCCATAATCTTAATTTCTTTTTTTCTGATCCCTTTTACTCACTGCCTTCATATTGGTCATATACCAGTATTATTTTCATCATTTCCATTTTTGGAAATTCAGTGTCTACTCTACCCTGTCTACTCTAGAGTTGTCCCAGCCTTGCTCCCTAAGTCAAACTTATTTTTCAGCATTCAATTCCTTTAAAGTCCACTTCTCTGATGAAGAACTAGTAAATTATATAAATATGAAAATGGGTTAATGTGCTGTCTTACAGATATAACACAAAACTGGTTAATAGGCTTTGTCTGGAAATTATTTAATTGAAATTAGAAGAATAATATTTTTAATCCTAAGTCTAAACCTTGATGAAAAACTTTATTAACGTGTTATTTAGTTAAGACCTTTCTATATGAGTATATTTCAAATATTCTTTTGAAATTCACACAATTTATCTCTTACAAACTGCAATATAACTAATACAATAACATACTTAAACATGATCATTATATTTGACTTAACAAGAAAAGTAAAGGCCTCATACAGAATAATCAACATATACACTCCCCATTTATAGGTTTCAATATTTAAACTTTTGGACTTATCAGTATCTATTATTGTATTCCATATATTCATGTGTACCCATTGTTTAGCTCCCACTTGTAAGTGAGAACATGCAGTTTTTTACTTTCTGAGTCATTTCATGTAGGATAACAGTCTCCAGCTGCATCCACATTGCTGCAAAGGTAATGATTTCATTTTATTATGGCTGAGTAGTATTTCATGGCGTGCATATATATATACATATATGTGTGTGTGTGTGTGTGTGTGTGTGTGTGTGTGTGTGTGTATATATATATATATATATATATATATATATATATGTCATATTTTTAATCCAGTGGCCCACTGATGGACACTTAGGTTGATCCCATGACTTTGCTATTGTAAATAATGCTGCAATAAACATATACATGCTTTTGTCTTTTTTGATATGATTATTTTTCTTTTGTGTAAATACCCAGTAGTGGGATCACTTGATCAAAAGGTAGTTCTATTTTTAGTTCTTTGAGACATCTCCATATTGCTTTCCATAAAGGTTGTACTAATTTACATTCTCACCAATACTGTATAGGTGTTCCCTTTTCTCTGCATCCTTGCCAATGTCTATTTTTGTTAATTTTAGTAATAGCCATTCTGACTGGTGTATGATGGTATCTTATTGTGGCTTTAATTTCCATTTCTCTGATGATTAACGATGTTGAGCATTTTTTATGTTTCTTGGCCATTTTATGTCTTCTTTTGAAAAATGCCTGTTCATGTATTTTGCTTACTTTTTTAAAAATTATACTTTAAGTGCTGAGATACTTGTGCAAAACATGCAGGGTTGTTACGTAGGTATCCATATGCCATGGTGGTTTGCTGCAC